TCAGAGGAAGTTAGAAAGGTACAAATTTAAGTATAAATTGAAAAATGCAAGGACACAACGCGTAGTAAAAGAAATAGTTTCTTCCATGTTGGCCAGTTACCAATTTACCTAGGGGTGGCTATACGGTCTGGTCCCGTTAAATTGGACCAAATTGATCCGGTCTCAGTCCGGTCTTTTCGGGAATATAAGGACCAAAGATTGGATTGGATACAGTCCGGTCTTGATCCGGTCCGGTCCCAATTTGATCTTGATTTTAGGTGTTGGGGGTCTCTTATCCGGTTTTTTTTACCTCAAATCTAAGCCCGAATATGAGATTGGATTGTTTGTTATCCGGTCCTGGTCCGGGTTATACGGTCCGGTTTCGGGTAAAACCAAACAGTCCGTACCAAATAGCCAGCCCTAAATTTACCTTTAGCAAAAAATAAGGAGAGAGCAATGATTTTAGAATTGAGAAACTACATGAAACTCGGCTATGAAAATTCCAGTATCATGCACCATAAAAATACATACGGTACAGTACTTAGTGCGCTTGCCAATCATGATGAAAAAGTTCGCTGATTTTCAGCGTGTCACTTTGTGTATGTTTTCTATTAAAAAAGATACAAAATGTTTGTTTAGTGTAATTGGTTGCAATTGTTGTCTATGTTTGAAAACACCTGGGTTCAAATCTTGATATTGCCATTTTTTACATCGAATAAATAATTAATTGTAAAGACAAAAATGTCCTTCCTACTTTCACTATCGTTACAGAAAATTTGAAATAGATAAAAATTGACAAAACTCTACTATATATTATTGGAGGATTTAGAGAAGATATATATGTAGCTATAATATAATTGGCTCCTCAACTAGTTGATTTTGGTCTTTTCTAGTCTTATTACTTAGCATGTTGGGTTTATAAAATATATATAGAAAAGGAATCTCCACTAACTAATCTAGCAAGACAATAACCAAGTGGGTTTCTTAATAAAAACCAGAAGTAGTACAGCTTCCTATCATATTCATAGTTTATTAACCCCAATTATTACAATAACCATTATTTGGCTGCTTTTCTTACCTTAATTAGGCGTAACACTAACAAAGAGTTCAAGAATCAATATGTAACGACACAATATTCTATTTATAAAACTCTGTACATATTTATATATCAAATTTTACATTTTTAATATTTTATAACTGATTTTATTACTTTAAACACACTATTTGTACACATTACTGCCCTACATATGCAAATAACATATATATTATGATATGTGGTATTTGTGTGATAATGCGCCCCTATAACAGGTTTGACAAATATGCATCCAAACCACCCATAACATAACCCACTAGATAATTGACCCGCGCTCTTTGGCGCGTAATGTTGAATATCTAATTGAATTGCATTGGCTTTGATTAGGTTAAATTGAATTTATTTTGTAGAATAATTTCGAATGTCAAAATATGCACTTCATGTCATGATTTAGTAAATGTTCTTCGAAAACAAACATCACTTCACCATGGCAGATTTCTTTGAGATTTTTTAAAGTATTTATCATCTATTCCCTTATTTTATGTATTTTCAGTAATTTTAAACAATATAATCTAATATCAATTAAGAGCCCGTAGTTTGTACACTGTGACAATTGTATCTTCAATTTTTGAAATGTCATTTGTGTTCTTTAATTTTGACTCTGTTACCTAAGAGGTCAGTGGTGGTGATTGGAAAAATGTCAAAATAATCAATTGAAATAATTCCTTTGAAAACCTATGTTCATCTCCAGGAAATTACTTACTTGCGGGGAAAAGCTGGATCCAGAGCGATAGTACTATTATATGCCTGGTTGACCCAGCTGGCCTGTTTTCGGAGTCTTGGTCAACGGTTGGTGAACTATCCACTCCACATTATAAACGTTCCTTTGCTATTCATTACTCTCACTGGGAAATGGCAATGGCGAATCGAACCAGAGCTCCTTCTTGTGCTGTTTACATCATTATTCCTTTGCTCCTGCTCCTCTTCTCCTCGCTGGCTAACAATAAGATGGTCCTGGTGGAAGCAGCTCGACTTCCCGCGGCCATGTCTGGTGAGTTACATTTTTGCTCGACTTGGGCATTTTAAGCATATTTTGAATACAACCTTAGTTGTAGTAAATATGATAACCGTTAACTTCGTCGACTGACTGATTAATGGGGATTCTGTGTGTGGCTTTGTTTCAGTTGGAATCAAGAGTGAGGAGCATGGTCGGATAGCTGCCGTGAGCAAAGGTTGGATCAAAAGAAGTTTTTCAAGATCCGACGCACACGGCGGTGGCGGTCCTCGCCAAATAATATGCGCAGTATGTTAGCAAATGAAATTGGAGCAAATGTGGCCAACTTCTGATGATGCGCGGATCCATAACAAAACGTCGCATTCAATATCTTTCTTTTCTACCTAGCAAATAAATGTACTTTCATTATTTGAACCAATAATGTGAGCTGGAAGAGTAGTGTCCATTTTGTTCTGATCGAGTGGTTATGAGGTCAGCTTTTGAAACCAATGAACCGTACGTATGTCAACATGCGTAATTTATCTTTCCATGTAAGTCTGTATCCACATAAGTAAAATTGGTATATTGTAATTTCTTTTCATGTGACTGTTCTTGGTAAAAGTCTTCAATTTGAGATTCTTATGTGTAATGCAGACTAATACCACATGTTTTGCTTAGCTGATACTCTCGTCCAATCAAATAATGTGTTGAAATTGTGGAGCTTCATTAGTACGACATTGTCCGTTTTGGGTCAAGCCCACACTGTTTTACTTTTTGGTATCCTTCTCAAAAGACAACGTACTAATGAGCTTGGCGGACACTTATATACTAGGTACCCTTCCCTTGTATTGCTGATGTTGTAATTGGATTATACCATAACAATCCTCTCATCAAGACAAGGACCACGAACTTTGTGTTCTCTCCTCAGCGATTAACTTGATTCGCCAAACCATATATATGCAGATCACCTTTGATGTACCGGACAGACGTGGATCACAAATCCTGAAGTCAACAAATTAGCGTCCCAACAAACTGACGTCCATCGCCCCAAACCGAAACCACGCTCTAATATCACTTGTCGAAATCAGCCAACTCCATTAGTACGATATATACTGTCCGCTTTGGGTCAAGCCCTGCAGGAATTTACTTTTGGTTATCCTCCCCAAAAAACCTTGTACCAATGAGCTGGTGGAAACTTATATACAAACGTCACTTTTCTTGTATTATCGTTGTGGTACTTGGATTGTCCCATAACAATCATCCCCTCAAGACAAGGACCACAAATTTCGTGTCCTCACTCATTGATTATTTTGATCCGCCAAACAAGATGTAGATCACCTTTGATCTACCATATAGATGCGGAGCTCTCTTAATCCGCCAAACACCTTGTATCGATGGAATTGTCGGTACAAGGATTTGTCCAGACGCAAAACTCTCTTTAATACAAGCCAACATGTTAATATACTACAAAATCACTACAAAATTTCATATCTTGCCTTTCATTTTATTCACATTTAGCAGTCCAAAATTCATGAAGAGACAGGAAGGGACACGAATGATAATCCCACATCCTTCTTTAATTTTTTTTCTTTGTTATTTTCTTACACGAAATTCATAAGAGGGAGGGAATTTTTTGACCGGTCAAAGACATATTTTTCTAATCTATCATTTTTTCTTAATCGATCGAGTTATATATCCTTTGTTTTAACTCGGAATTTCAATTTTTCATGGAAATAACGCATTAATTAAGATATACATAGCTATATTTATTTTTTTATGTTTTGAGAAGAAATTACTTTTCAAAACACGTGTTGGTTGTACTATTCTCACTTTTATGTCAATATTATATGTTATTGGTATGTTGATTATCTCCTTCATTTTAACTAAAAAAATTAAAATATTATATAAAAAGAACTTATTAATCATTATATACATGACGATATCCATTTTGTTAATTTTTGTACAAAATGGTAATTATCCATTAAAAAATACGTGTTTGTTGTCATCATATCACTGTCATATCATGATCTGGTAAGACATATAACACCATCATATCATTGTCATATCATAATAGTGGTATGATGACATCAATTTTTTTTCTTAAGGATAAGACTTCATTCTATCTTTAATTTCCAGTGTCAATCCAGCATCATAACATTATAATAAGAGTCCATAATATCATTGCAACACTATAATAAGACAGATAAATCCTATCGTATTATTGTCAAATCATAATTTTATCACCGATAATATGATCATATGATAGTGATGTGACGATATCGATATTTTTCTCTAAAATAAGACTTTATACTATCTTATCACTGTCATACCAGCATCATACAACTACGATAATATTTTATAAACCTATCTTACTACTTGCATACCATCTTACTAGAGTGTCAATACCATCATACTACTGTCATATTATGTTAAAAAAAAAAACGGAGGTTGGATAGGTGGGTTATGATATTGCGAACCCTTTGCAACCTTACTTGTGCAATGATGTGACTGAGATGTGTTTAGCCGAGAGAGAGATGCACATGCACACGTTGACATTTGCTTCATCCCATGCATTGCTTTTGTCGTTTAATTTGTTGGACAGAGTGCGGTACATGTGCTCTAAACTCAATTATTTCACTGGAAATTAGACTTTGTCTTCCTGCTCTCCTACCAAATTGCTTCAAAATATTATCAAGTTGAATCCAATTTGAGTGATCATTAATAGAGATTATCACCTTCCTTGATGTTTCCTCAATACTAGTTTATGAATGGCGATCCAGCTTTTTATATAATTATTTTCCTCAAATGGAAACTGTCCTCTCTCCCACTACTATAAACAGGCGCCTAATATAATTCGTCCCCAGAAAAGCAACTGATCTATCATTAGAAGAAGAAAAAAAATAGAGCTAGCTGCTAGCGAAGCAATTTTCCATAACTCAATAATGGGAAATCAGAGCAGAAGCACTTGTCTTGCTATTTACGCCATTCCTTTGCTTCTGGTCGTCCTCTTGTCGTTGCCTGAAGACAAGATGGCGATGGTGGAAGCTGCCAGAGTTCCAGCTGCTGCCACCATTATGGGTCAGTAATATTTCACACATATGTTATCCGGCGTTTTAATTTATCAGATGTAATTGATTATAGTTATAAGAGTATTTGGTGGTTTGATTTGGTGCATTGCAGTGGGGAAGAGTAGTAGTACTACAACCAGTGATGGGCTGGTAAGGAGGATAATGGCGGTGGTGAGCAAGTCTGGTTTTTCGCTTAGGGCAAAAGTACCAAGAGGCAGCACAAACCGTCTCCCTTGGCAGCCAAGATGTTGCTAGCTTTTTGATACATTAAATTTTTGGAGAACTCCATTTCCAATCGTTTCAAGAACTCATAATATGTATCGCCCGCCTTCAGCGTGTTTTGTGTTCAATGGCGAAAGTCGTTCTTGATCGACCCACTTGTATGTTCAACTATGGTTTGGCTTTTGCTTTGTTTAAATGTATGCAATATCGTACCTCTCTGTTTATTGTGCGTTCTTCTTGTTTCTTCTGTGATTTTGTAATGAAATTACTCATTCCTGTTGAAGAAGTCGATCCAAATTATATGTTTTCACCACTCTGCAATTAATTTTTTTTTAACCTGCAATTTACTAAAAAGTAATTACCGCACATGGTCGAGGTACAATAAGGGGTTGTTGATATATATTTAAACAAAAAAGGGGTTGTTTATATATATGAGGATTAATATGTAATTCTCGGATAATTAGGGTATATTTGTAAACTTGATATAATCGGAGTAAACAAGCATAATTGCATAAATACTATTGTTGCCTTGTGTGAGATACAAGAGATATCATAATGATAAACTGATTTTGTGAGCTCTATATAGCTCTTAGCCGACTAGTGTAGTTGGTATCTAACAAGAAAATCAAGTAATTCATGTGCTCTTTACTTCGCTACATGATTTACCTGCCTTTGTGTTAGTTTATATGCGACTTTGTTTGGCGGCCCAATCTAATTCTTACTCTTCGAATAGGATATCCATCTCACCATGTTGGGTTTGACGAGTAATGTAAAGATGAAGAGGATAAAACCTAGCCATGAAAATGTTCATGATTCATGTGGTGATCCTTGAGAAAGAAAGAAAAAACCAATAGAAATATGAATAGTACCGGTAATTAGGGCTGAAAATTTGCTTGTCGGGTCCCTGTCCCTGACCCTGTCTGACCCGTTCTTGAAAGGTCAAGATGTATAACTGATTCGTCCCATCCCTATCTCCTTCTTGACCCTCTGACTTTCAAGGGACGGGCCGGGTCAGTGGGCCGACCCTAATCAACACACTACTTTTTTACAAATTACGTTTTGATACCCAAAATTATTTTCTTACAATTTAGTACCTAAATTTTTTTTACAAATAAGTCCATAAATTTTGATGATAAAATTACGTTTTGGACCCAAAATTTTTAATTTTTACAAATTAGTACCTAAACTTTTAAAACTTTACAAAAAGGTCCAATGTGGTGTGAGATATTTGTTGTTGCTAAGTAGGGATGGCAATTTACCCACCCATGGGTAATTTTGCCCAAACCCAAGTAGACCCATTTATTATGGGTAGGGTTTGGGTGATGTACGTGTGTATGGGTTTGGGGTTTGTATGTGGATTTGGGTTAGATATGGATATTATCTAAATGGGTATGGGTTGGATATGGATATCCATTTACTTGAGGGTGTTTTAACTACACATACAAAAATTGGACCTATTTGTAAAAACATGAAAAGTTTAGGCACCAAAATGTGAGACCAAAAAATTGTAGGTACTAAAATATAATTTTTCATCGATATTTTGAGGACTTATATGCAAAAATAAATAAATTTAGGTACTAAATATGCATAACTATTAAGTTTAGGTACCAAACTGTAATTTGCATTTGGGTATGGGTACAAACCCAAATCCATATGTTAAAAACCCAACCCAACCCAAATAAATGGGTATGGGTACAAACTCATCAAACTCTACCCATCTAATATCTATTTGGATTCCATACCCAGCCCAATTGGGTTGGATAGTAAAATACACATGGGTATGGGTAATATTGCCATCCCTATTGCTAAGTGTCACAGGGGTCAAAACCTAACCCGTCCCTAAGTTGTCCCTACCCGTCCCGACCCTTACAGGGTCAACAAATGACTAGTCCCTAATTAATTTGTCCCTGTAGACAAACTTACCCATCCCGATCCTTAGGGACGGGACGAGTCAGTGGATCTTTCGGATCAAACTTTCACCCCTACCAGTAATAGAAATAATTGAAAGAAGAAAAGGAGGAGCACCTTCAACGCAAAATGAAATAATATATTGAAGAGAGGGTAAAGATGAGAGGATGAGAGGAAACCAAACTGAGATATGAGAAATATTATATCATATACTAATATGATTCATAACATCTTCCTTTTCTTGAGTTTTCTATACAAATTACAATTTGATATCTAAAATTAGTAGATATTAAGATTTAGTACTTAAAAGTAATTTTTTGCATATAAGTTCTATACATATTGATGAAAATCTGCATTTCTAGTTTCTAAACATTTTATGCTTTACATATGATACCCAAACATTTTAAAATTCACCTAGGTACAAGCTTATGAAGTTTTTGCTATGTTTTATGAGATTTCTGGTATCCTCTAATAAAATTATGGTATGTTTTATGAGGTTTTCAGGATGTTTCGGTAAATTTTTGGTCTACTAATGAGGTTTCTACTATGTTTCCAGATATTTGTGGTATACTTTAACTAGTTGCGATATGCTTTATTATAAAGTTTCTAGTATGCTTCAGGAACTTGTTGTGTGTTTTAATAAACTTGTGGTATTCTTTATGAATTTTGTAGTGTGATGATGTTAGGATATGCTTTATATTATCCAAACCTTTTCAAAATTCTTTTATATTATCCAAACCTATAAAAATTCTATTAATTAGCCAAATCTTTCGTAATTCATCAAAATATTAGCCATTTTTACGTTATCGTTAATAATTTTGTAACTCTTTTCTTAGTTAAATACTAAATTTTTGGAATGTTGACCTTTGTGTGTCTATTCCAAGTTAGTGTCATGTTGCCAAGTCAATATTACTAACAAAATTGCTAACTGGAAGTTAACATTTGGCTAATTCTTAGTATTTCGATAGGGTTGGATAATATAAACGAATTTGAAAAATATTTGAATAAAAAATAGACATTACCCTAAACATTTTGGTGTTTGTCGTGTGCTTTATGAATTTTGTGGTGCGGTGAGATGCTGCCGTTCTAGTATGCATGATGAGTTTTCAGGTTCAACTTAGATTCAAACACAAAGGTCTTTCTCTTACGTAAAGACGGTGAGGCTTCTATCCTCCCAAGGAATAAAATACATTTACGATTTTCGGTTTTGAATCACAACCGCATGGTTTCGTATTAACCCGACCACGAACAACTAAAAATTCAGATAGCATATTAAACCGCAAGTTTTATGATGCAGTTCGGCCTGGCCGCAAAAGCGATCTGGTGCGATTCAAAGCGGTTCGACCGCACCAATGCCCTGATGCCACGCATTTCTTTGTCGTTTAGTTCTATGGACATAGTGCGTTAGATGTGCAGTAAATTAATTAACTGGAATTAGTCTTGTCTGGCTGCTACTACCAAATTGAATAGAAAAAATAAAAGTTGATAATAGGAGATTATCACATTCCTTGATGGTTCCTCAATGCTTATTCTTCTGAATGGCAATAGATAATAGAGTTAATAACCTTCCTGTATGGTTCGTCAATACTTGTTTTTTAATGGAAACTGTGTGCTCCCCTGATCACTATAAATGGGCGCCTAATTCGTACCCTTGTTCTCATAACACACCACAGCTGCGATTAAGCCAGAAAAATAGCTAGCTGCTAGCGAGGCAATTTACACAACCTAATAAAGGGAATGGGAAATCAGAGCAGAAGAACCTGTCTCCCTATTTACACCATTATTCCTTTGCTTCTGGTCGTCCTCTTGTCGTTGCCTGCAGGCAAGATGGTGCTGGTGGAAGCTGTCAGAGTTCCTGCTGCCACCTTGGGTCAGTACTATTCATTACCCATATCATGTATCTTTTATCCTCGCTTTAATGAATCAGCTCTTTCTGTTTCTGTTAGAGGTGGCAATTAGGATCCAAATTCATGAATCCAATCCAATCCATCCACCAAATTATTCATTTAATTCAATCTATTTAAATCCAATCCATTTAATCCAAATCCAATTGGATTGGTGGATTCATGGATCAATCCATGGATCCAAATGGCAAATTACGATTTGATACCTATATTTTTTATATTTTACATTTTGGTACATAAAATTTATATTTTTATACGAAAAATATCATTGGAAAATTACATTTTGGTACCTACAAATTTTCATTATGACATTTTAGTACCAAAACTTTTCAAATTTTACATTTTGGTCCAAGCCTTGGATGTCATTTGGATTCATGGATCAATCCATGAATCCACCAATCCATTGGATCCAATCCATTTGATCCATAGATCCACGAATCCACGAATCCGATCCAATTGCCACCTCTAGTTTCTGTACATATTTGTTTTTTTGGTAATGGCTTTTTATTAATAATGGATTAAGAAGTAGTTTGTGGGTTTAATTTGGTGCATGCAGCGGGGAAGAGTAAAAGTGATGAGCCGGCGGCCAGTAGCTGGAGGATAGTGGCGGCGGTGCGCAAGTTTGGTTATGCGGTAGTGGGAAGCAGATCAAGAACCAGCGGGCACGGCCATGATGTGTTTGGTCGCCGCAGATGTTGCTACTGATCATTCATTTTGGCGAAGTAAGAAAGTCTTGGATCTTACGCTCGAACTTGAACCATGCATATATATGTAGTTCCAGTCTTAATTTCGTTGCTCGGACCTTTTGGTTTTCAATGGAGATATTCGATCGTGATTAACCAGCCTGTACGTCCAACTCTTTCGGTTTGTGTTTTTGAATGTATCAGCTTTATTTGTTTGTTGTAAAGGCTCCTTGTTTCCTTTGTGATCTTTGTTGTGAAATTCCTCATTCCTGCTGATCCAAAAAAGTATTGTTAATAGATTAAATTGCCCCTTTGCTAGTTTTCTCATCATATTTGCCCCTTTATCGTAATCACAATTTCAAACATATGCCATTTTGTTAGACTTTTCATTCAATATCTATGTTAATCACGATCGAACCGTGGGTTGACCTACCAGAAATGAGTAGAGTATGAGAATCAAGGTTGTCAACCCGAAGGTCGATCCGCGGGTTGACCCGGATCTGGCCTTGAAAACAGGTTAAAATAGCCCATTTGAGAGTTAGCCTGGAAATGCTCAAACCCGGAAAATTCGGTAAAACCCGGGAAAATCGGGGCGATTGGCCCGTCCGAGCGGGTCAGCGGGCTGCTCGTTCCAAAGTGTCGTTGAGTTTTTACTATATTGAATTTA